AGAAAGATATACAGTACTTCTGAATAGTGCCTACCTGATATAAGCAATAAGCAAGATTTCAGCTAATGTAGCTTTAACCAGGGGGAGGAAATAGATAAAGTATGATCTACAAGTTGTTGATATACTATTAGACAAGAGTTTGTCCACCACTTCTTAACAGTAGCAATAACCACAGGCAACCCTTGAAACGTCTAAAATATCTCATTCGACCTGTGAATATTCCAGTATAGATGACTAATTTGCTCTGACTCCAGTCATTATTGCATCTTGTTTGTGGAATCTCAAGCAACCAAGCAACAAACAAAATAGATGCTACAAGGATCTATTATTTTACAAAATTCTTCTGAAAGTTCTGTAATCAACTCAGCTGAAGTCACAAAAGTGAACTAAATATCAACAAAGACATCATTAAAATGTATTTAAAGTACCCTTCATAACTTTCAAACAGAAAACTTCATAAAACAGGTCTGGATGAAGATTTATATCTTATTGGTTTTTTTCCTTAAGATCAAGAGAATGGGAATGTAATGCCATTCCTGTCAGAGGGTTTTCTCCAGGTAAGAATGGTGCTGGTAGGCCAACTAAAGCTGCTTTTTAAAAAAAGTAATAAAAACTAGTCTGAACAGCCCTGTAGCCAGGCATGTGGCATACGTGAGTGCCTAAAAGAGGTTGGCCCTTTGCCAATGCCACTTACTTCATTTCCTTATTTCGTAGAATGAGGGAGTAGCTAGGACAGAGTTGAACAATATATGAACTGAGAACCCACAGTGGGAATCTTCTTCAAACATATGCAAAAATCCAATGCTTGTACTACATATTTTCCCATGTGTTCTTTCAATATTATTTAGTCATAGCCCTTCCTTGAACTAAAAGCTATATCTTCTGATTCACAGTCACAAGAATTCTGTGTAATGTTAGACAGATCTGATTCACATTAACAATTTAATCTTACTGTATAAAGCTAACAAGTAACTATTGTAATCAAAACAAAGGGAAATAATGATGAAACTATTTCAAATGATTGCCCAAGGCTAAAGAATGCATAAATGCCAAAAATAACTTTGAAAATTAGTTATAATCTCAGTTAATTCATAGTGGCTTTTTTGGCCTATCGTAGATACCTACGCTCAGAATTGTTGAAGGCAATTGACAAAGAACAAAAAACAAAAGATAATATAGTGACATTCACAGTGGAACAGCCTGACAAAACCAGTGTTGTGATGAAAGTCCACCCCTTCTCTATGTGAAATATGAGGTCTAATTTATTTACTTATTTATCATATTTAAAGACTGCCCATTTCCCTGATAGAGTGACTCTGGGCAATGTCATGCACATTTCATTTATTTGTATCCCACATTTATTATTTTTAAAAACAATTCAAGGCAATAAACATATCTAGCATACCTTCCTCCTATTTCCCCCTACAACAGCTACCCTATGAGGTAGGTTGGGCTGAGAGAGAATGACTGGCTTAAAGTCACCTAGCTTTCATGGCTAAAGTAGGACTAGAACTCACAATCTCCTTCTTTCTAGCCTGATGCCTTAACCACTACACCAAACTAGGTTTTAAAAGGGCAGAACTTGTTGCATGATGCCACTGACCCATTCGTCCAGCAGGAGACAAAATGGATGGATGCTATAATTGATGAGTTTACATGAGTTTACCAGACTCAAAGTAACTATCTGGTGAAGTGATCTCCATTGGATCACTCGGGATTTGTCAGGTGCAAAGAATCAGGACCACACATTAAGTTCCAGTTAAGAAGATTTATTGCTTATGCCTACACACAAGAAAGTGGTTCTAGATAAGAGTCAATGGAATTCGGGGGGGGGGGGTTGGACTTGAATTGCTTGTGGGGATGTAGGAACTCCAGACTGATTCCCCCCTTAATTTCCCACCAGGCTTTGCCTCCTTCTCCAACAGTATTGGAAGTAGCTGAAAACAATAGTAAAAATACCTATATCTCATGATAAATAGATCAATGAAAGAAAGAAAGTTTCATCCTTAAATTATATGAAGTTTCAGCACTGAAGCATTCATACCACAAATTCAAAGGACTATAAAACTACTGTGGGATCTTTAGAAAATAAGCATTTTTAGTTTAAATTTTCAGATGTTTCCCTGTTAAAATTTAAAACAGAAATATGTTTGTTTAGCACCATTTCAAGGTGGTAAAGCTACGTGTTCTTTTTAGATGTATGTTTCTGTACCTTTTTTCAACCTGTCACACTCCAACAAAGTTGGATTAAAATTATTATTATTCACAATCAGGAAAGCTAAGGGAAGACTAGTTGGGTGCCTTTCATGAGTGAAGATAAGTTTGATTGCCTAAATAAAAAAAGGCAATCCTTGAATAAGCAAATTCTTCTGAGGCAAACACATTTCACCTAATCAATTGTGAAAGATAAGGAAGAAAGGAAGGAAAAAGAAACAATCTCAACCAGATTCCATTCCACTTTAGTCTCTTCAGATATTTTGCCTGTTGGACAGATTACAAGTATCCTTTTTGGCAAAAATCAAAGAGCATAAATATAAGAGCTGACACAAGGTTACATTACTTGAATTGGGTGTGAATATAATCATGTTTTAAATAGTTTGAATACAGTTTATAATACTAAGATATTGCTGCCCTCTCATGGGCAAACATAGATTTGCAATCAGTATTTTGGCCACTCAATATGAATGTTTCCCCTTCATATTTAAAATAAATTTATTATATATATATCTATAAACAATAGATTTAGTAAATAAAATATGTAATAATCCAGTGACATATTGCAAACATAGCATTGGTTCATATTTTCTCAATAAAAAGAAACTATTAAGACAGATTTCTTTATTTGCCAATATATTTTAAGCAGTGAGTCAGATTTTAAGCATATCAAGTTTGCCTCTTATATTCAGGCAAACTATGGACATAGTAATTGATAACAAGAGAAAGAAAAGCCAAGGCTGACTGTTAATATCACGGAGTACCTGATTAAATGTAAGAGAGCTTAGTATACTGAACAGCTTTAATCTGCAGTCCTCTAAACATAGTGTTAATAATGGAAATAATCAATGTATTCATAATTAAGGAACTAGTTAATTTACGGCATACATTTCCTTTGGAGAAGTTTATATTATTTGACTCATCAAAATTAATCAAGACTGATGATTTAATTATGTCTTGTTTGATCCTGGCAGGAAAAAAAATCAGTTCAATTAAATGAATTGAAGTTTTTGAATATTCTACTAAATATGTAATGAAGAACTAATTAATAATTCGCTACCTATCCATTTGAGAAGTAGCTAAAATTGCAATAGTTATCTGCAACATCCCAGTTCTTTCCCTTCTCATATAAAGTCCCAAAATATGTAACTGATTCTGTTCTATGTAAGAGAAAATTCAATTCAAAATTGCAAAGTTTTTTGTTTTTTTTTAAATTTGATTTATATGCCGCCCTTCTCCGGAGACTCAGGGCGGCTTACAATGCGTTAAGCAATAGCCTTCATTCTTTTGTATATTTTATACAAAGTCAGCTTATTGCCCCCACAAACTGGGTCCTCATTTCACCTACCTTAGAAAGGATGGAAGGCTGAGTCAACCTTGAGCCTTGGAGAGATTTGAACCAGCAGAAATTGCAGGCAGCTGTGTTAATAACAGGGTGCATTAAACCACTGTACTATCAAGGCTCCTTGCATAGGAACTTTATATATTCTTCTAGAGAAAGCACATAAAAAGGCAAACAGCAGGGCAGTAATAGATATATCAAAGAAAAATCTTTGACAGGCAAAATGTTTTACCTAAATATGTTTGCGTGTGTTATGTCTGTATTTTTCCCTGTTCCCTTTTTCATAAGATGAAAATAAACAAGTTGAGGGCATAAACCAATTGGTCCACTTTTACATATGAATTTGAAATAGAATGCTGCGAGTAATGCTGCGAGTAATGGTAACCCTCAAACCATAGTCCAACCCTAACCCTAACCCTAACCCTAAGACAGTGGGCAGTGGGGGAGTGGAGCAGGGTCTCATTCTTTACATTGTAAGGTCTTGCCCAGTTCACACAAAAGTGTACCATTAAAAATTATCTGCAGATAAAGTTAAATAAGTGGCACTCTCTCACCTCAGAAACTTCCTTAGAGATTGCCAAGTACCTAAAAGAGAACATCAGTGCACAGGCTTGACTCCTAAAGTAATGGGACTTCTTTAAATACTCCAAGAAGAAGAATTCTTCAAAAAGAATTATGTTAGTAATTTTTTTTTTAAAAAAAGAGAATATAATAATGTATAATCTTAAAAAACTCCAACAGGGTTAGGACAAGTTTAATCTCCAGATAGATGTATCAGTGATCTATGATATAACTCAGATAATGGCATCTGAAAACTGTAGGTAAGATTCACAGATCTAATTTCTGTGAATGTATATATTTTGGTTTCTGCAGGAGCTTTTGAATAAATGCAGAAGTGCTTATGTAGATTTCCTTCCTTCCTTCCTTCCTTCTTTCCTTCCTCCCTCCCTCCCTCATCTTTGAGTCATTTTTGACTGGAATCATTTTGCAAAATGCAGTTTTCTTGGCAAGATTTTGAAAGGAGGCTTGCCATGGCCTCCTTCCCAGGGCTGACAGTGACTGGTTCAAGGTCAACCAGCTGGCTTTTCTGCCTCAGTTGAAACTAAAATTCACATCTCATACTTTCTACCCTGATATTTTAACCATTATACCACACTGACTCTCATGTAGAAATATTATATATGAACAATTCAGAAAAATACTGAGTCTAATCTCAAAAGTAATCCCTTTAAGTTGCAGAAAGAAATATTTAAATATGTTTTAATAATGCTCCAGACGTTATGATACTGTGCATTTTCTCTAGTGCATAGCTTATCCTTGCTGTATTTGAAGACTGAAAATAGAAAGGGATTAAAGACATATGGAAAATATGTGGGTCAAAATAATGAATTCAAATTATGTTGAGAAAAACATGAATTGTGAGAAAATAAAATTAGGTCCTTCACCTGATTGACAAAAGTATTTTTATTAGATGATACAGTTTTACATCTCTATCATGCATTCTAATAAAGTATCTTCTCATTCAATCTATCAATTTGTGAAATTGAGATACAATTAGTTAATAACAGTATAAAAGTTTCCTGTTACATAGAGGCAGTGGCAATAGGTATTAACTTGCACCAAAGCTAATAAAAATGAACACAAAGATATCTCTGTTTTTGTATAAACTCTCACAATCCATGGGATGGTTATACAGGGATCTCTGAGATATCAGGATGTCTGTAACAGATACCTGAACACTGATGGACATATTTGATGATACAAAGTGAGGAAAAATAATACTTTGAGTGGCTTAAAATTCATATAAACCTCATGCTTATTTCAGTAGAAAGGTATTCATTCAAAAACAGATGGAAAGTGTATGTGTGTGCAAAACGAACAAAAAATATCCATAATAAAGTCTTACAACCATGTGTTTTCCAACCCTGATGACTTTTTCTGATAGTCTTTTTAAAGAACATTGCAGCGTCATCTTAGAAATGATAAATGAATGCCATAGATTCATTTGAATTTATTTCTAGAAATCTATGTTTCTGTTTTAACAAAGTGTAATGAATGTACACTACTGTAATTTTCAATTTTCTAACCACTAGCTCCTAGAAGTTTTAAATTATTATTATTATTATTTTATTCATTAAACATGAAACTCAGTCAATTGAACATTTAAAAATGTACCATGAATACCATTGACTGGTGCTAATGGTTGATAGAGGTTGCTGCCAGCGTCCTAGATATCAACTAAGTATCTTCTTAAAATATACAATGTTGTTGTTGTTGTTGTTGTTGTTGTTGTTGTTAATTTGCTCTTTTCTGGGAACTTTGCTTTTACTGTGATAGTCAAACTGTGCATTGTTGTACCCTTTAGCAAATTTTGAAAATGACTGAATGGCCACTCATATTGGAGCTATGCAGGTAATCATTGTATGTGCAGTCAATGGCTCCATACCATACACAATAAATATACAGTATCATTGATTCAAACTATATGTCACTAAAATTCACACCTGTTTGCTCTTTAAGTGAGAATGGCTCTTCTCAAGTGAGGACTGCTCTAATCTGTGATTGGTGCCCTTCTTTCCATAACATTGGGGTTTCTAAGGCTTGCAAAGCCTGGTTCCTATTTCAGAAGAAATGTTGAAAATACAGCAGATCCCCTGGAATAGCAGTGGAAGGCTTTTAAATTAGTAGGAACTTTCACCTTCTTTACGCTCCCAGGATTTTCCCCCTTCCCCTAGCTGGAAATCACCAACGCACCTTACTATTACCCTCTTGTCTTCAAAGTTGCATCAACAACAGATTTGCTCCTTCTCTAACACAGTGGTTGGTAGGATATTTCATTTTCCCCACTTAAAACATCTTCAGCATGGAAAAAATGAGGGCTGTGGGGGTGGGAACAGCTGCCTTCTGATTCTTGTACCTTCCCACTGACCATGGAAGGAATATGACAATGGGGACATTGGAAGAAAAGAGAGGTGAAATCAATATGCTCTCGAGATAAACATCTGTTTTCTGTTTTAAGATAGCTTTCTCGTACTTTCCAGGTCCGGGAATTTAGGGAGTAGCATTTCAACTCATCTGTAGGGCATCAGATTGAGAAAGTCTGTTAGATCTTACATATTTTACTTTTGCGTAACCTTTTTAGACAATGCTAGCAAGGTATGCTTTTCTTCAGCTAAGTACTAAATTTAAGGGGATGTAAATTTATCAGATCAGATCTAGGGCGCCTAGCTCTGTACTATGAAATTATAGGCAGCTATACCATAATTCCAAATAAACTCTATTTCTGCCAAATGGTAGCTTAACTTTTTGCAGTCCAGCCTACTATTCCTAATCAGACAAAAATATACAGTAAATCTCAGCAAGCAAGTTAAACTTTTACTAATGTGATTTCTTAAATGGGAATTCCTTCTGAATCACAATAGGAATCTTACAAGCTGCATTTTTATATATTTGTCAGTAGATGGATGAGATCTAGGTAAGATCTTTTACTACAGTAGAATATTTTAATCAGTTTATTTTTCAGATATAAAGCACAGGAGTAGAAAGTGCCTCCATATTTTTGTTTGAATGCTATACAAATGTATTACCACACATTTTAGGAGTAAAATATAAATCAATGCAAATCTCAAAATACTACTTTTTTTCTTAAGAGAAGGACTGGCACAGATAATATTCAATCTGTACAAAAGTAAAATGGATAGAGGGTAGACAACTGGTTTTTACATCTCATTTATTTGTATTTTCAGAAGCAGGCAAATTTACCTTTCGCTTATACGAAGAAAAATAGACATCATTTCCTCTTTCTGACAGAAATACTTAGTAAGAAACTAAGAAATATTTTTCTAAAGCTAATGGAACTGTATTGACACTCAAACCAGCATTGGAATAGTGATAAGAATCTATCAATACGAAAAGTAGGAATTTTTATATGAAATATATATATTCATATCCTCATGGAATTAAATTACACTGAGAACTGCAATCTTAGAGAGTTCTATTTAGCAATAGCACTTAGATTTATATACCGCTTCACAGTTCTTTACAGCCCTCTCTAAGCGGTTTACAGAGTCAGCATATTGCCCCCAACAATCTGGGTCCTCATTTTGCTGACCTCGGAAGGATGAAGGCTGAGTTAACCTTGAGCCAGTGAAAATTGAACTGCTGAACTGCTGGCAACCAGCGATCAGCAGAAGTAGCCTGCAGTTCTGCATTCTAACCACTGCTCCACCACGGCTCTTTAATTTATTTAGTTCTATATATGGGCTCTTATATAATTACCTACATTTCTACATATTTCTACATATTGCTTTAGTACTGTCATCTTCTTTGGATATTCATTTTTTATTCTTTTAACTTTAAACAAAACTGCCATGAAAAAAATGCATTAGTCTGCAGCCAGAAATTTAAGTTTTTAAAAAAAACTTTTACATTTGTTTTAGTTTGTCTTAATAAGGGTTATTCCTGTCTCAAGCTTTTCTGTCACAGCATAGTGACAATAGTCAGACTAACTTCTTAGAATATAGCTAGTTCTCTCTTAGAGTAGGGGTCTCCAAACTTGACAACTGTTAAGGCTGGCAGGGGAATTCTGGGAGTTGAAGTCCGCAAGTCTTAAAATTGTCATGTTTGGAGACCACTGTCTTAGAGAAAAAGAAGAACAATTTCAATCAAACCACAGAATAATCAGAGTAGTTTCATTAGAATAAATGAAGCAAAACCTCAGTCTCATCCTGTCACATGATACTTAGAAACACTCAATCCTCTACTTATCTCATGACATTCTTTGGCCTGTTATAGTCATGGTAGGCTTAAAATTTCAACACCCGCAATTATTGTTCTGATGATGGATCTAATAATCAAATGCATATGCAAACAAATATAAAGCCACCATTGTGTTCCTTTAAGGCACAACAGGAAACTCATTCCGGAACCAAAGGCTACATTGATCCTTTAATTCCTAGCAAAAATAAGAAATTGAGAGTTTAGGAAAGGTAAACCGCATCATCTGTTATTCTTTGGCAGTTCTTCTGTCTTTCAGATGAAGAAAGAAAATAATTATCTTCTTCCTTCAAATCAGAAAGCATAGTAATCTATGTTGAGATCAGATATTATTTTGTGCTTTGAACCATGAAACCTAAATTTAGAAATATTTTTATTTTCAGAAATTGATTAATTGCAGAAAAGAGAAAAGCAAAACATTGCAATCAGACTTGATGACATTCCAGTGAGGTCAATAAAAAAGTAACACATCACTTATATGGTAAAAGTAGAATTACAGATTAAAACAAATTAAAATTTCTGGAAACTCTAGAATATACATATCCCACAAATTCTATGTTAACTTCTGATTTTTTTATTATTATTATAGTTTTTCTCCCGAATGCCATCGCTCTGCTAAACATCTAATTCCCACAACACTGTCAAACTATTTACTAAGACTGCATTACTATTTTTCTTCTCATCCTTCCTATTACCTCTATCTTCCCACTTATGACTATAACCTTGTTGTTCGTATCTCTATGATTTATATTGTTTTATTTGTTTCCTAGTATGATTTGATTGCTTATTAGTAACCTATGACTATCACTAAGTGTTGTATCTTATGATTCTTGATGAATGTATTTTTTTGTTCTTTTCTTTTTATGAACACTGAGAGTATATGCACCAAAGACAAATTCCTTGTGTGTCCAGTCACATTTGGCCAATAAAGAATTCTATTCTATTCTATTCTTATGAAAAATTACCAGAATTCTAGGGATCGCACTGTCACTTAAAAAATGATTGCCTTGATATCAAAGAGACTCAGATGGCTAAAATCAAATCTTTTGCTTAAACTAATCCATAAGTTATATATGCTTTTCTAATGAGTTTCTTTAAGCTACCCTCAAACCACAGAACACTTACTTTTATCCAAAAACACATTTCCTATAAGCTAAATCGTTCTTGCTCTATAGCCTCTGCTCATAAAACAAAACAAAACAAAACAAAAAATAAAAAATAAAAAATCAGGATATGACAAACACTGATCTACAGTACTAGGGACCCAGGAGAATGTGGTTCACTGCATTACAACATAAGTATTTTACAAAAAGCCTGCAACTTCCCTAGTCACCAAAGGGCTTGCATATTTCATAAGTATTGCAACATATGTCTCCTACTCATTTTACTGAAATCCATACCATTGCTTTCCTCTTACATTACCAAGGACATCCTCAAGTCATTCCCTCCATATGACTACACATAATTTCTTCATATACCAAATCTTCCATACCATTCTTAAACAGGTGGCATTCTGAAAATAGCCTACCATGTTTACACTTGAAATGATCATTTCTCTTTTTCTGCTATTAAAATGAAACTGTAAGTCACAATAGTTTATTTATTTAATTTATTTATTGAATTTATGTTGCCGCCTATTCGCCCATGGCGACTCAAGGCGGCTTAAAGAATATAAAACCACATTTAAAACAACAAAACTAATAAAAAGAAAGATTAGCCCTAAAAGCATTGCAAAATGTTTTTAAACTCAGTTGATTTCATGAAAAAGAACATTTTTATTTACCTTTCTGAATATTGTGAGGTCTTGTTTGTTATTTATTTATTTATTAAATTTATATAGCTGTCCATCTCATTGCCGTATCTCTGGGTTAAAGTTAAATGGTATATCTTACTGTAATAAAGGAAATTGCTGTATTCTGAACTGCATATTTTTCTTCAAACAAAATCCCTCTTTGTGTATTCAGTTAATGTAAAGAGGTTCCAGAGAAGGATTTGGAGAGCTTTATATATCCTGGATGACATTCTGTCACATTCTATATTGTATACCTGAGGTAACCCAAGATTGCCTTGAGGCCAAAAGCAGTTGCTCTCAGGATTGATATGGTGACAGAATTTTGATTAGTCAGGATAAAGAGCCCATTTCATATATTCATCAAATTGTGGTTTGAAACCCATTTAACTGGGGTTCTTCATACAGAAGCTGGTAGGAAACTCTACGCTATGCTGGCTGGAGAATTCTGGGAGTTGAAATCCACAAGTCTTAAAGCTGCCAAGTTTGAAGACCTCTGCACTAAGGCATGTACCTTGCTTATATCTACATCCTGAATGTCTTTTTCCCTCATGCTTCATCTTTCTTTGTGCTGGTTATGAGAATAACGTTTTTCAGGCGCCCGGCATGTTTGTTTAACCAATTCAGTGTCTTAAAGTTTAAAAAGTCAATATCCTTTAAACTTTACTTTTAAAGTTTAAAAAGCCAATATCTTTACTGAAACTGTATTTCAGATACTGAGCTAGAAAAAAAGAGTGATGTTGGCACCAAAACATAAGCTGCATAACCAATTTACAATAATGTAAGTTTCCTTCTTTTAGAAAAGTTGCATTGTTCTTTAGAAAGGAACGAATTATACCAGACAGTATAAAGATAGGCTGTAACCTTAATCCTTACTAGAAAGTACCATTGAATTTAATAGTATTTGCTCCTGAGTTAACATTCATGAGATTCTAGCTGCAGAAATGAAGACCTAATATAGGTAGTCCTCAACTTATGACCACAATTGAGCCCAAATTATGTCGTTAAGTGAGAAATTTGTTAATTTGTTAATGGGTTTTGACCCATTTTATGACTTTCCTTGTCACATTTGTTAAGTGAATTGCTGCAGTTGTTAAATAAGTAACACAGTTGTTAAATGAATCTGGTTTCTCATTGACTTTGCTTGTCAGAAAGTTGCAAAAGGTGATCACATGACCCCAGGACAGTGCAACCATCATAAATATGAGTCAGTTGTCAAGCATCTGAATGTAAATCATGTGATCATGGGGATGCTACAATGGTCGTCAGTGTGAAAAATGGTCAGTGCCATTGTAGTGAATGGTCACTAACTGACCTGTCGTAAGTTGAGAACTTTTTTTTTTTAAAGTCATTTCTCCCTCTCTTATTTAGGAAACAGTGAACATATTAGAATCTGCTTTGTTTACCTTTGAATATATGTAAAAAGAGGTATCTTCATATTTTATTTGCTTTTGGAATGTCTAATTAGATTTTTTTTAGAAAGAAATTAAAAACAACATAGCTAAAGTCTAATACAAAGAAGAAAATGAAATGAATTTAAATTTCCAGGATTGTAATATATTGTACTGCAGTCAGAGTGCAATCAATAATAATATATTCCAAGGCAGTGATAAAATAACTGTCATCCTACAGAGATTGATGATTTATAATTCAGAGTAGCTAGCATGACCAATGTGAGAGAAGCTGGGATTGCAGTGTATCACTCTTTGGAAGATACAAGTTGTCCACTTATATTTATATAATAGACTTGTGTTGGACTAGGAGGGCTATGATAGCAGTATTCCAGTATTTTAGAGGCTGTCACAAAGAGGAGGGGGTCAATTTATTTTCCAAAGCCCCAGAGGGCAAGTCAAGAAATAATGGATGGAAACTAATCAAGGAGAGAAGCAATGTGGAATTAAGGAGAACCTTCATAACAGTGAGGACAGTTAACCAGACAGTTTGCCTTCAGAAGTTGTAGGTGCTTTATCACTGGCAGTTTTAAAGAAAAGACCGGACAGTCACCTATCTGAAATGGCATAGGATCTCCTGCTTGAGAAAGGGGCTGGATTAGAAGATCTCCAAAGTCCCTTCTAGCTCATTCTGATTCTGATTCACTCATGCTCCAAAGACTGATCACAAACTGAATTGGGGAAATATAATGTCTTTCCATTTCTTGTCATCTGCTATATGTTATTCATTTCTAATTGCACTTTTGTTGTTATACCTCTAGTCATAAAAATGATTTTCTGACGCTGAAGACATTTGTGCTGATGTGTTTCCCCAAGCTGGTAATATAAGCAAAAAGAACTTGGAATGAGTGAGCATAACATGAGTTTGTAGAGGCCTTCAAGAAGGTAAGATTGTCTATTCAGAGGACAGCTTCTTTCCAGAATCTCAGCAAGAAGATTTTCCCTTCAACTGCTATCTAAGATTTTTAACCAGAAATGCTAAGAATTCATCTAGGAGCTTCTGAAAGCCAAATCTGTGTTCATCTACTGAAGTGTGTTTTTCAAGCTAGAAAACTTCAAAGTATCAGCCTAATGAAACTTTAGACCCTATTACAGTATCTTTCCCTAACCAGTTAAGAAAAAAAAAATCCTAGTTGAGTCTCAGAAAGATAAAAATAATGCAACTAAACTCTTTCAGTTAGGAATAATATTTGCATAGCCAATAACAAAGACCAAAACACAACATATCACAACTTAGCCGGTGGTACAAATAGATACTTAGTTAACCATAAGTAGGCTTGTATAAGAAACAAAAGGAAATAACTGTTTTCATGTCCCCTAAGATTACATTTTTATAATGATTAATTGGATAACTCACAGGTGTTGATATTGCACAATTATAACCTTCTGAGTTTAAAAGTTCACATATGGAAGCACATCAAAACACCATGTTGTGATTTGCTTTTATATAAACTAGATTTCATTCTATGTCTGTTACGCATGTTTCTCTCAGGGACATACACACACGCACACACAAACACATACAAGGCAAAGAAAATCTGGAATCAATGTCTTTTATAATACTGACAAATCATGAGCACTGGGTCCCATTCTAGATAAATCTTGATTTTACCAGGCCAGAAAACATCTATTCACACTTCTCATTCTCATTTTAGACCTTCAAGGAAGAAAACTACAGCAGACTCATTTGCTTTTCATGTTTGACGCCTCCATCCCTTTGGATGTGGATTATAGTTGGAGTCAGACATTGATAGACAATAATCAGACCTGGATTCCATGGAAATCATACCAGGATCAGTTTGGGCACGTTGGCTACAATATGCAGGCTGCAGACGGGAACCATAATGGCCATTGGAGCTAGGAGCAGACATTGAGATCTTGGCAGGTAATGTGGCCACTGAATAGCTCCTTCCAAGTGAAGCTAATTTAGCATGGACACTTGGAGCTGGATGCTCATAAGCCACCTTTCTCTTCCAGTCATCAGGTGGTGTAGATAATGTTTTTCTACGAGCTGCTGACATCACATTTGCAACTATAGATTCTTGAATGGTTTGGGGACCAAAAGCATCATCCACAAATCCAAGGGGAGACTTAGCTGCTGCTTCCCAAGGAGTCAGCCTCTTCCCAGGCTTGTCAACTGCTGCTGGTGCTTTGGTAATATAATCAGGAGTGGATTGGAATATCACAGGAGATACTGGGGACATGGATCTGGAAGAAGTGGAAGGTAGCCATCCAGGAACTGATAAAGATCGTTCATGGGCCCTTTCCTAGAAACAGTAAAATTTTAGAGTTATTATATTCTTGAATATTAGTGACAAAGATTCCAAAAGTAGAGCAAATATATACATATATATATATACAGTATTTATCTGAAGTAGTAAGATTGTTTTTTTAAATACCTAAGTAGCTTTTCAGTGTTATAAAAATTAAGCATTCTGAAAAACATTTTTAAAAGCTGGTGCATTTTTGTTGAAAAATATGTTCAAAGGAAAATATAATTTCATATTTTTTTTCTTTTTTAATGAAACTATCTCCAGAACCTGTGATCAGCTATTATTAACAAATTCACGAAAGCATTAAAATAAGAAATCCAAATATCAGTGTCAACAACTAGTGCATTTTGGGAGATAGCCTAAGGTTTTATACTATCTAGTCCATGGCAGTGTCACATTCAGTCAGGAAACAAATGAAGAGCAGAGTTGCACTGACAGTAGTATATTCTAACTTTAGAATGGCATATTCTACTACGATATACCAATATATGGAAACAAATCAATATTGATGTTTTCTGTTGTTTGATTTTTGTTTCATTTCTTATGCTAGTCTTTGTAATAAAGATGAATTAATGAATTAGTGTAACAAACTACAGAGTTGTCACTGTCTGGTTCTGTGACCTTTTTTATGGAAGCAAAGAAAATACTGAAAGGTAAAAATCATTGCTTTAAATATCAAGCTATGAAAATCTAAAAATAAATTGTAGACACTATCTGCAATCTAACATTCTAATTTAACATTGCGCAAGCATTACTGTTCTGATGCAACATTGCCAACAGATCATAACCCAAGGTCATCATGTCAAGAGATGATGATATCATGTTATATTTTTGTTGCACTGTTGCATCAGCTTAAAACCACAATTGTTAACCAGACTGCTTTAATGTCCCACATTTACTTGGGTGGCTTTACAATTGCTTGATCTAAAGGTAATATTAAGAAAATGGCAGATGTTGTGCTGAAATGGTCAATAAAGTCTACAGTATTATGCCAGTTACAGTTTATAAGATCTTAAAACAAAATGTGTAACTTGTTAACCCAGTTTATAATCAAAAGCACCAAGAAACTAGAGCAATAGGAGGTTGAAAAAGAATATCAAGATTTTCCTAGGTATTTTTCTGCTGCTGCTGATCATTTTCTAATATATTATTTCTAAATAAAAATTTGCATCCAACTTGCCTTTTGTGCTTGTCTCAGTGCCTTGAAAAATCTGTTCTAATGTTCTACACTGTTATATAAGCAGCCCTGAAATGGAAGCACTTACTCCGGGCTTATTAATGTACCCTGGCTTCAGAAAACCTGTAAGCAATTCTCATTCTGGTCTGATGTCCCATACCAAGATTTGCAACTTCATTGCTGATCTAGTTTTTAATAACTGTAGAAAATTTTCTTGGCAGGGAATGGATACTTGAAAGAAAGAATTGTCTTATAAATAATGGCAACAATACTTGTAAATCAGGTTATTGGAATGAGATCTCAGCAAAGGATCAAAAGGGTAAACAAAGGCCTAGCACCAGAATAGTCACATTTTCATGGCGGTATCCACCTGAACCAAAAATAGTAGCATGTTTTGCAAAAATTAGCTGCATGGCTTTCTTCATCCTGTTCAAACTGATGATAAAAGGCAAAATAGACAAAATTTGGCAACCTTATGAATTCTTAGAATATTAAAATAAATAAGACAGCAATTGCTAATACATTACAATTAAGATAGCTTGTGCGTTCACAGCTTTGTTTAATCCATAGGCATAAAATAGAATAGTGGCCATACTTTAGTAGTTTTCTATGAGAGAATCTTGGGCTTTTCAATGCTTCTTCCTCCATGGTTGAAAAATGGTTCTCTTAAAATAATAATGCTATATCAAGTCCAAACCCAAAAGCTGTTTTTAAATAAAATGAAAAAGAATTATCTATTTCAATCCATGATTTATTATTCAGAATTTTCTCTATGATCGATAGTTAAGGTTAACCACAGCCTTGGGGTTGATAGAATAAAAAAAAAGATGTCTAATTAATGGGAGTAAACATTTAGACATAGTGAAAGGAGGAGATAGAAAATGGAAACACAAAACTTGAAGCTTATACATGTAAACCCAACATGGATTAACACTAGAATTACATCGAATTATGCCATTACTAATTTAAAAGACCACAAGCTTCCTGCTTGTAATAAATGCATTTCATAATAGTTCAGTATTACTCACTTGAATTATGTTGTTTAAAAATAAGTAACAGTCTAGGTTGTACAATAAAAAGACATTCAGCATTGCCACCCTCTGGAAACCAAGAATAATATCCCACAAGAATGAATTACTTAGGACAAGATATTAAAGATTTTTTTTGCAAATGGGTGCAGTTATTGAAACTACTATTTTTGGTCAGAAATTAATTGGCACATTATGTCAATTAATATATACATTAAGGCTAGCATAATTCTTTCGCTATTATTTTTTAAAAGAATCTTCTACAATGATGACTTACAAGACACACAGCCATACACTGAAAGAGTAGAGTCAGTCTCATATTTCTTAGAATTACATGATTTTTAATGACTGCATAAAACAATCTTGAAACATATCATGGAAAAATGATCTTGCAGTATTCTTGCCAGCACCCGTACCATTGTCTGATATCCTGGCATTCTAACGTTTTTAGAATATACTGGGAGATTCTTCTTTGAAAGGCCCAAACAGCTGAGCATCTCTGTAATTCAGAGAGCTCATTAGGGTATGGGAATGGATACCGTATGGAAGAAATTCTCTCTGAGGGCCATCTTTCTCTTTCAAAGTTGTGCTCTTCCCTGTGCCTGCAAAGAGACTTCTTTGTCTGCAAAGACACCTTGCAAGCAACAACTATTGTATTTACAAGACCTGATGGAGAAATGTTCATACAGTAAGCACATATAGCTTACCAGATAGAAAGAGCTATATTTCTCCTAGATTTTATTGTGCCCCCTAGGAATTATAGTGATTTAAATCTAAAACACCTGTAGAAATGCTTCTATCATAGGGGATAAAATAAATACTGCTGTGCAAGAATATTTGGCATTTCTAACATTTTGCACATCTCAATCTGTAACTAATTTATTCAGAACAATGGAATTTCTTTTCTAAATGTTTGCCTATACCATTTAAAACCAGAATGTGTTGTGAAGGTAAACTATTTTGAATTCCCCTAACCCTGTGAATGGCATGGAGCTATATCCGCTGGCATGTGCAGTGTCGCCCGGTCCTCTTCCGGGTTTCTGGCATGCATGCGTGCGCGATGATCAGCTATTTTTTGCACGTTCGGCAGTGCCAGAAACCAGAAGAGCTGGTCTTCCATTTTCTGTTGTGCGCATGCCCACAAGGCAGTTTCTCTTCCAGGGTGCATCCCTGATGCGCACGCGTGCATCCTCCCTTTTCGGTACTCGGTGCCGAAAAGGTTCGCCATCACTGCCCTAACCCAAACCACAAAAAATGATCATTAATATATATATATATATATTTATTACATAATTTAATATTTAGTAAGTAATAGTAGGCTTCTTTGGTAACATAGCTGAATATATCTGATTGTTCCATTTAACAAATTAATGTTTACCTTTGCTTTATTTCAATTTGTCTTCCCACTGATTATCTATCTTCAAAAGTCTCTTCTAAAAATCATGAAACTGGATGGATGACTGATAGAAATTTTATATATTTTAAATAACTAATATAGCTTCCCATTCTTCCTATTTGAATTAGACTCCTAATATAGCAATAGCACTTAGACTTATATATCACTTCACTGTGCTTTTACAGCCCTCTCTAAGTGGTTTACAGAGTCAGCATATTGCTCCCAACAATTTGGGTTCTCATTTTACTGACCTCAGAAGGATGGAAGGCTGAGTCAACCTTGAGCCTGGTGAGATTTGCAAATTGACTGCCAAATTGCAGTCAGCCAGCAGTCAGGAGAAGTAGCCTGTAATATTGCATTCTAACCACTGCACCATCACTAATATGACACATTAGATCATTTTAACCTTTTTTTCTGTGCTGCAACTCTAATCTAGATTAGTATTCTCTATATCTTCACATTAACACATAACTTTTCATGATATAAATAAAATAAATATGTCACTTCAATCTTCTTTTGCTTCACTCTTCTTTATAAATCACTTCTATATCTCCTTTCAAAGAATGTCCTTGAACAAACAAGTCTATCCACACATTTACCTTTGTAATTTCAATTAGAATGCTTTTCTCTTTTGCTTCTTTCATTTCTGGTGGAAAATATATTTGGTGATCTCCAGATATTTTAGTCAACATCACCATAAATTATTGCCCTTGGTTGGGATTAATGAGAACTGAAGTCTTAAATATCTATGCCTGCTTCTAGCCAACTATTTTGGATACAGCAATCTTTTTCTTATTACCACCACTACTTGTGGTAATAGTAGCCTTGAATTTACTCACAAGTATTAGGAATGTGGTGACATTGTTCTGAATTATGGGTATAGATATCTCATGACTGTTTATACTTTCACAATAGAAAAGTATATTAGGATTTCTGTAGTTTAGGTAATCCTAAAGGGATTGGAAAAGTATGAAAGACTATGAGGCACCAAAAAATACCCTCTGAATTCTATTGCTCTAATTTCTCTGTTAATTACCATTATCCTTTTACGATGAGAGGATTATTTTGGAAAAGTGGGCCATGAATATATTCTAATTGTATTGTAAAAATGAATATGTTATAGAACAGGGGTCTCCAACCCTTGGTCCATGAACTGGTTGGGAACTGGGCCACATAAGCAGCAGGTGAGCATGTGAAGCTTCATTTGCACACACGCAAGATCTAGGTTGACCGTACAATACCATCCTCCCTACTGCTGCCACCTGTCCATGGAGTCAGAAGGGTTGGGGACTACTGCTATAGAAGGTAAAGGTAAATGTTTCCCCTATCCAGTCATTTCTGGCTCTAGGGGGCAGTGCTCACCTGTTTCTTAGCTGAGGGAGCCAGAATTGTC